GAACTTTCGCCGTGTGAGTGAGTACAGTCCTCATCTATATGCACTCTTGCGGACCGTACAAATTCTTTCTTCTTAGACCACTCAATTAAGGTGGCGTGCATGTATGAATTCTTCTTGGTACAACCCTCATCCACATACACTCTTACGGGTCGTACAATTCTTTTTCTTCTTATGCCACTCAATTAAGTTGACGTGTATGTGGGAATTTCTTCTTAGCACTCACGGTTCCCCATCACAACAACCTATTCTTTTCTCTTCTTTAACACTTTTTCTTTCTTTAATTCTTTAGTGCTTTTTCCTTCTTTCTCTTTATTCTTAGAGTGTTTTATTCTTAAAATTCTTTATTCTTTCTTAAGTACTACATATATACAAATATATGCATATGGATGGCTCATGCTTAGAATTCTTACTTAAATGCACTCATGAAATGCAAATATGTAATGTTGCATAAAATTAAGGTTTCTACTCATACTCATGCTTCTCTTAGGCATTTCATCAACCAATAAATGTGCATAAACAAACTCTACTTTAACTATAATTCTATTTGTTTCTTAAACCATCCAAAATGAGAGTAAAACTCTCTTGTATCATCACAATCCCTATCACGGCAAAACACTCCCAAAACTTTCTTAAACTCTTCCAATTTCAACCAAACTTCAATCTATCATCATACAATCAAAAACACTTCTCATACTTAAATATATCCAACAACAAGCATAAATAATCACCAATCTCATCTCAATTTCCCAACAATTATAACATATACATGCTTAAAGAAATCTCTATTGAATTAATTTCTTAAACTTTAACTTGAGTTGGATTTTGAGTTGGATTTACTTACCTTATACTTGAGTAGTCTCCACTAAAGCTCTCTACTCTTGTTGGACTCAAATTTCCCCTTAACCCTAAGCATAAACTTAATAAGAATTCAACTTCTACACAAGTAAATCTTATATATAGAGCAAGAATTTTTACCTCTTGTTGCCTAGGATCAAAACCTTGTCAAAATCCACTCAAAAGCCCTCAAAAATCCTTGGAAAATTGAGTGAAAAGTTGAGAGAAAATAGGGAAGGAAAGTGCGGTGGAAGAAGAGAAATAAGGGGGTTTGTAAGACTAAACCCTTAATATCTTATTTTATAAACATACTTTCCCATTTTGCCCTTACACTTTCTTAGAAATTCCATCTTTGTCCCTTAGTCAATTACCATAATGCCCTCATTTTTATTGCATTCTCCATACAATTCTATCTCTTTTCACTCCCCACAATTTCAACTAATTCTGAGTGAAAAGACCATTTTACCCTTAATACAAGTTTAAGGCATTTTCTTCACATTCTCTCAAAATAACTTTAACCAAAATCAACTAAGGGCTATAAAAACATAAATTAAATTACATACCTCTGTGTGGGCGTTACAAGTAATAAAATATTTTGGTAATCTTTCAATACTAATAGTGATTACTGTAGGTAAATAGGTAATCAGATTACCACTTTAGGAGGTGGTATTTAAAGATTACCGGGGTAATCTTAATTTTATACCAATTTTGCCCTTAATTAAATACCATTCCGGACATAATTGCTCTCAAATGTGTACCAAATAACAATCATCTAGACCCCTTACATTTGATAATTTAGCTAAAACATCTCAACCACAAAAAGTTTAAAAGTTGACAAAATACCCCCAACCACCAAAGACCACCGCCCGCCGCCACCACCATTGCCATGTAACACCCACATCAAGGTACGTAGCTTTATTTATGCCCTAGTACCCTTAGTTGAATTTTGTGAAAGTTATCTTGAACAAGTGTGAAGAAAATTCCTTAAAACTTCATTAGGGGTAAAATGGTCTTTTCACTCATAATTAGTTGAAAAAGTGGAGAGTGAAAGGAAGTAGAATAACATGGAGAAGTTAATAAAATGAGGACATTCTTGTAATTGACTAAAGGACATAGATGAAATTTTTAGAAAGTACAAGGGTAAAATGGGAAACTATATATATTATTATGTAGTAATAAGAGTTCAAGAATTGAAACCCTAGGCACTCCACCCATTGTTTACGCCACCTTCATCCCAAATTCTCTCAATTTTTCTTCCACTAATTCCAAGGAAATTTATAGGATTTTTGATAGATTTTCAATCCTAAGCATCCAAAGGTAAGATTCTTGCACCAAGATGTGAGATTTAAATTTTAAAGTTTGAATTCTTATGGTTTTATATGTTTGGCTTTAAGAGGTAAGAGGAATTCTACCAAAGAGAGATTATATTGTTGGAATTGCTCAAATTCAAGGTAAGTAAATCCAACTTTAGCTTTGATTGGATAAATACGTGTGTAGAGAAATTTATTGTATGTTGTATGTGTGTTTGGATGACGAGAATTATGGATTGAAATTGAGGTTGTTTAATTTGTGAATCTTATGGCCATGAGAAGTGATTTATTAGTATGTGTTGAGTTGATTAAATTTTGGTGAAATATGAAGAATGAATATGGCATGGTGGAGGATGAAATTCGACTAGGGTGGTTGTTGGCCTTAGGGAGTTTTTGCTCCAATTTTGGTGGCTTGAGAAATATGTGGAAGTGAAATCAATTTAGGGTTTGTATGTGCATGTAAGGTGTTTGATGAAATGTCAAAGAAAGTGCATATATATGAGTATGTTAGATTATTACTTTGTTATGGAAATTTTGTTGGTAGAGAATACTAGTTCCATAATGATATCTTTATATGTCATAATGAATTCTTACATTTGAGCATTTGCATTTAGAAAGAATAGCAAAGAATGAGCATATTTACATGCACATATACATGTATTAGAACATTAAAGAATAAAGAGACAGAAAAGAAATAAATTGTAGAATCATCCTCTAAAGAATATAATTAAAGAATACTTCAAAACTGAAATTTTACTTAAAAAAATATAAAAAGATAAGAGAAGAGAAGGTTGTTGTGATAGGGAGCCCATTAGTGACAGAGAAGAAGAATAGCTCTGCATGCACGCCGCCTTTAGTGAGCGGCCTAAGAATAAGAAAGAAGAATTTGTACAGTCCATAAGAAGTGCATGTGGATGAGGACTGTACCCAAGAAAGAATTTAAGAATACACTCACACGGCTAGGGTTCCAAATCCATACCTCAACCGAGTTCGATCAGCAAAGAAAAGAATAGAAAAGAAAAGAAAGAATAGAAAAGCAAGAAAAACAAAAAATAAAGAATAGAAACAGAAAAGAAAGAAGAGAAACAAAAAAAGAAAGAAAATAGAAAACAAATAGAAAACAAATAGAAAACAAATGAGAAATAGAAACAGAAAAGGAAATGCATAAAGTTTATGCATTTGTGCATATGCATCATGCCATTTCTACTATTTCGAGTTAGTTTCCCTATTTGTGTTTACATATCGGTAAGTGAAAAACTAGAATCTTAGAAAGAGCAAAGAAGAATTGAGAAGTTTGGTGTAAGGAAAGAAAATCCAGGATCTGAGTAACGGAGAAAGAATAGACGTATTGTGGGTTTACTTACTGAGCAATTAGTGTTTACTCCGTTGATTTCATTGTTTTTGCAGATAGTAGATGAGATGAGATCGGATGGAACGTCAAGTAGCAGAGGAGAAAGGCAACACTATCTGACTCTATTTTTGAGTTATTTTTGTGACTTGTTACTTGATGTAGAGATTTGTGTATAAAGAAAAATTAGTTATGGGCCCTCTATTTCATACTTATATATATATTTTCTGTAATATGTTTAGTGAGTTTTACTTATATTTTTCCAAAGAACTACTAGCTAGAAAGAATATTACATGCCAGTCACCGGCAATAGTCGCCAGATTGATGCATAACCGGCGAGATCTGGCTAGCCATGCATCTAGCTGTTTTTGGCCATCGATCTAGTTGGAAACAGCCAGCTCCACAGTGATCTAGCTATTTTCGGCATTCGATTTGGTCGAAAACAGCCAAAACGGCACACGACTGGCGAGATCTTGTCGGTCATGCATCGTTTTGATGACTGACGCTAGTGGTTGGCGGTGGTGGCCAATGGTCGGCGGTGGTCTTGGGTGGCTGGGGGTATTTTGTTAAAATTTAAACTTTGTCGTTAGGGTGTTTTAGCTAAATTCTCAAATATAAGAGGTTAAAAAAATTTACTTTAATAATAATAATAATAAAAAAATTATTATTATTATTATTATTATTATTATATTAAAAATGAAGGGCAATTCAACAAAAGCCTCTGTCGATAATATTTTATTCTTCCCAACCAAATATCTTAGTTATTTGTATCTAGTAATCTAACCAAACATATTGATATAACATTCTCCTATAATCTTCAAGGTAATTTATCTTAGTGATAATCTTATTTTTTTAGCAATAAAACATTTCCTCAATCAAATGCACCCGAAATGTTATATTAACGGAAAGTTAGATTACCTTGAAGGTTATTGAGAATCTTTAGGAAAATATGTTTAGTTAGTTGGAATAAAATGACCGTTTCTAGCCATATCAAAGCCTCTCGGCGGTGGTCGATAGTGGTTGACCAGTTGTTGGCGGTGGTGGGTAGGTGACAGTGATGGTTTGTAATTTGTTTTAAATATGAGGGTATTATTGTTCAAAAATTTAATTAAATAAGGGTAAGATTGTAACGGTGGATTAATGTAAATTAATTTTAAAATAAAGATATTATTGTAAAAAAAAATTTGTTAATAAAAGATAAAACTGTAATAAAAATAAAATAACCAAATAATCTTATAATACCTAAGAAAATAGAGCTAACAACCTCTAATATTACCAATAACTATTATTGTATTAAAAAATTATCAAAATTTTATACTACTTCACGACCAAATATAATAATGAAATAATATTTAAATATATTGAACTGTATAATCTCGAAGCAAATGTCCTAAATTGTATTATTTATATTAAAAGAATAAAAAATAATAGATGTGAGAGGGACAGGACAAGAGATGGCAGAAAGCATAAAAGGGTGAGGACACCTGTGACAAATGGTTTGGCGTTTAGAACGAAAGAAAGACCAGTCTTCCCTTCTCTACTCTCTCTCTGTAACCTATTCTATTCTGTTCTACCCTATTCCTCTTTAATCTCTCTCTTCACAAACCTATAGCCATGACTGGTGATGCTTTTCTTCTTCACCCAACCCCAACCATCACCTCCAATTCCAATTCCACTAACCCCAAGAAACCCAAAGACAAAAAGAAGAAGAAGAAGAAGCGTGGTGGCAGCAAGAAGAAGATGACTGCTGAGCAGAGTCTCGCTTTCAAATCTGTAACTGAATGGGTGTATTTGGACCAACACCTCAACACTAACAATTCCTCCTCTGCTTCTTCTTTTATTGTCGATGATTTTGGTGTACAAAAGAGTCTTGGAAGAGGAGTGGAGAAAGTGATGTTTGAATTGCATTCACATTCCAAGTTTAGTGATGGATTCTTGTCGCCTTCCAAGCTTGTTGAGAGAGCTCATGGCAATGGGGTCAGTCATTCAAATTCCACTTATATATATAACTTTTTGAGGGGATTGCTCTAATGGGTTTTGTTTGTTTTGATTGATAGTTTGAAATGAGTGACTTTTTTACTTTATTTTTTATTTGAAAAGTGTTCCTTTCTTATTCTATGCTTCAAATATTTAGTTTTTTTTTTTTTTTTTAAATGTCGGAATACTTATTTATTTATTAAGAATGATTCTGTAATTTTGTTATGAATAAACATTATTTTTCTGCTTCTTACTGGTGAATTCTTGTGAGATTTTTTTTCTTTTTTCTTTTTATTTTAGGAATCTTGTGGTTCTTCCTTTGAATGGACATTTATGCTTTTCTAACCAACTGCTTTTGTTTGTCTGATTCTTTGAGTTCTCATTTACATATATCATATTTGTTCTGTTTCATCGGTAGAGTTATTGCTTGTGAACTTGAGTATTTTGTGCTCTTTGTTATTATTCTTTACCTAAGTTTCTTTCACGATTCAAGTTACTACAACATTTTAAAAGGCAAAGGGTGTAGATCTAAGGAAAATTATTTATGCTTTTTAAGGCTTAATTTTGTAGACAAAACAATTGTTCTCATGAAGCTGTATGTGGTCTGTGAAAGCAATTCGGCTTTGTGTTGTATAATGAAGAGGAGTACAATAATACTTGCGGTGGAATAAAGACGTAGGTAATGCTAATGGAAACAATATTTGGTTGAATGACAAGGTTCGACAATGGAGCTAGGGCGTTGCTGATGGATAGAGGACACTTATTTTTTCATATTACAATCCCATGCAGGATGTCTGAAGTTTTTGTGCAGGACCATTTTACTTGTGAGTTTTTTGCATAAATACTTATAGATATACCTATCTTTTGAAAACTTAGAGAAGGAAAAGTAGTAAAGCAGAAAAAGGAGATATTCTCTCAAGATGTAGAAGAGAAGGAAAATGATAGACAAGAAATAACCTTTTAAATATAGCATTTTCAGACTAAAGCTCATTTTCTTTGTAAGTTAGCCTTCTGTTTGATTCAGAAGAAGAGATCTTTTCTTGCTCAGTACTATCTCCTCTCCTCTGTTTCCACTGCTAACACAAGAAGTGGTTGGGCTGGATTTTTTTTTTCTTTTGGCCTGAAAAATATGCCAGTAGTTGTCATTCTGAGTTATTATTATGCTGCCTAGCTCGTTCGGAGTTATTAGGTAAATAAAGAGCAGATTTAAAACATAAAACTTCTATTTTCTTTCTACCTTATAACTCGATTGAAACCTTTTGATAAGTCAGAGGGATGTACAATATTATATTTATTTTGCTCTGCTGGTTTTATTTATTGTAGATTGATTTTTTTTTTTTAATTATTTTTAACTCTTGTTACTTATACCATTTCACATCATGACATCCGAAATTTATATGGCCAAGCTATTTTAGGAAACAGACATTATTAAGATATTGTGAGGTATTTTGATGATATGATTTACTAAAACATCAATTATATGAATTATCATTTTTTTTTATGGTATAAATTTCATAAATTATATAATATAATAATCATAATCAGTGTAAACCAACTACTTTTTTTCTTTTAAAATTTTGTTCATCGTAAACATTTAAATAATGTATATTCTGATAACCCTCCATTAAAACTGTACACTAGTGTTCTACTATTAATGTCCTCATAAGATATTTTAGCACATGAATTTGTTTTTACATCTGTTTTGTGCAGAATTATGTTGCTTCATGTTATTTTATTTAACTAATATCCTTTCTGAGGTTGCTTGGTAAAGTTTATGCAATTTCATGATTGTGAGCTTGTTGGTTATGAATGTTTTAACTGGCAATGCTTGCTATTGTCTCTATTAAGGCAAGAATGATAAAGAATTTTCTTATGTTTGATCATAGGTGTATGTTACTGGTTGAACAGGCTATTATTTGATGACCTATCATTCTTAGAGAATATCTAGATTTAATCTATTTCTTTCTGACAGCATTAGACCAAAATGATTATTTTAAATGAAACTTGAGTTTTTATATCTTCCCTACAGGTGAAGAAATGCAACCTATAAATTACTTCAATTTTTTCAACTGGCATGATCAATTTCAAGTTTTTTGTGTCCTTGATTATTATGTTCAAGTGTGGCATGGTTACAACTTTCTAAAAATCATCTACTCGGTTATTAATGTCCATCTTTATCTCAAGTTTTTGTGCTTTTCTGATTTCTCTAAGTAGATTGGATAGGAAAATATTTTTACATTTTGATTATTATTACTTTTGTAATTAGGAATTTAATTAGTACAGTGTGTTCAGAACAGGTGAAAGTTCTAGCTCTGACAGATCATGACACACTGTCTGGTATACCTGAGGCCATTGAAGCAGCTCGCCGTTTCGGGATAAAGATTATCCCAGGCGTTGAAATCAGCACAATTTTCTCTCCAAGGTTCTAATTATTTTCTGCAAACTATCATCATGTACAGTTTCTTGCCGTCATTAATTACATTGGGTTAGATCACTGTGCATTAAATATCTGCACTTTTTTTCTTAGCTCATCTCAAACTTCTTTTGTGAGGTAATCAGGATAAAAGTTGAGTGTTTATGTGTAATGAAAAGATTATTTTAGTAATATGTTTGTAGGTATATTCATTTAGTTAATTACATCTTTAGCCTTGTTTTAGTTAGTTGTAATTTTATTAATTAGGTGTTTAATATGTCCCTATGTTAGTAGTGTCAAGTTTCGACTTGGCATAGAACTTTAAACTTCTAGGCAATAAGAACCAAAAATAGTATTTAAACTTTTACTGCACTCTGACGTTCCTGCACATGAATGGAACATAACATCCACAAGCACAACTTATTATAATTTACTCAGTGAAATGGGGGTATTCACAAACATTAGAACTTGGTGAATGTAGTTTGATATCATGTTAAGTTCCCACATGATTTAAAAACTTAATTTTATAGGTTAAAGCCCAATATTATTATTTAAGCTTTCACAAGAAGTACTAGGACTGAGCCATTTGGAGGTTGGCCCATATATGTGGCCTTAAGAATTTTTTTTATTTTTTTTTTAAATGAGACTTGAATTGGATGTTGAGATACTAACTATTCATTCATCCCTTTATTTCTCGGCTTTTTCTATCTAGGTTTACCTCATTTCTTGTTCTTCGTATTGTCTCCCGTTTCGTTCTTACTCTTTATTATTGGCTCCGTTTGTTTAACTTTTTGGAATAGTATTCTATTCTGATTCTGAATAGGATTTAATTAAATAGGATATGATTCTGAGAATATATTTGGTACATTTTTGGAAAAAATTTAGATTATTTTTTAACCTTTTACATTTGTTAATTTAGCTAAACACCCCCGCACAATAAAAGTTTATAAATTAGCAAAAACACCCCCACCCAACCAATTAATTGTCAGCAGTTGGCCACCACTGTCGGACAGTCGTCGGAAGTCGCTAGAATGACGCATGACCAACTGGATCTGGTCGGTCGTACGTCGATCTGGCCGTAAATGGCCAAAGCTAAGGCCAAAGATTTGGCCCTTGACAGCCAAATCTGGCCAGACGACAGCCAAGAGATGGTCGTCGTCAACAACCAGATCTGGCCGTCAATGGCCGGATATTTGGTTGTAGATCTGGTCGAATCGAGACACGACCGGCTAGATCCAGCCAGTTGCGTGCCATTCCTGCGACTTCCAGCCACCGTTCGACGGTGGTGGCTGGCTGCCAACAATTAGTTGGGTGAATGGGGTTGTTTTTATTAATTTACAAATTTTTATTGGGAAAGGTAATTGTTAAATGTTTTGAGTTGAATAGGATAAGATTGGATTTTGAATTGAATAGTCAATATTAAAACAAATATGTATTTCACTAGATTGGATGTGATAGAGTTTAAAAAGTGTACCAATGGGCGGGATTATTTATTTATTTTGGATAAGTAAAAATTCATTAGAAAGGAAAAAGCATTTACAAAATGCCATAGCAAAATTGGCCAGCCTACCATAGGACATGCCCTAGGTTAAGCACAAAGGGATCAAGTAATCACTACGACTACTTTCTAATTGCTAGGCTAAACAATTAATACAATGAATGCAAAAAGCAAGCCACAACCGAGGCTGCCCAAAACAATACAACCTGAAACAAGCATTCACAAAAACAACCACCAAAAGCAAAACAAAGGGTGGTATCCTCTGAGGCTATACAACCCATCTGCCCCCAAATAACAAACCTACAAAAACAACCCGATCACAGCTGCCCACCAAAGGAAAGATGCAACCAGCCACAATTCCGCCCCCACCATCAAACATCCCCCCAAAAAAATCAAGCTGAACAACCTCAAGAGCAAGGTATTGAGAGCCCTCTCCAAACCACACAACAACCCTCCTCAAACGACTAAGAAGCCAAGAAGATAGAATTTGGCAGCCTCAAATCATGAGCAAGCCTCAAGTTAAATGGGGATTTCTTCACTTTAGAATGCTCCATCGCCCTCCCCCTCCCAATTTGCTTAATCTTATTCACCAATGATATGGCATCAAGGCAATCTCGCCCAAAGTGTCTATTATTTCTCTCTCACCAAATGTGGTAAACTGTAGCTCCCAAGCAAAGTCTACTAATGACATACTTTAACTTCTTAGGTTTCCATCTACAAGATATATAGTTAATACAAACTTGCTAAGGTCGAACCACATACCCCAAGTGACACATTAAGGACCTGATACCAAATGTTTCTAGTGAAAGTACAAGAGAAGAAAAGATGATCCATGGATTCCATATTACAATTACAAAAACAGCAAGTTCCAATTGAAGTAACTCCAGACCTCACAAGTTTGTCCCTCATTTGCATTCGGCTTTTAATGGCTAGCCATAACATGAAAAAGTTCCGAGGAATAGCCCTTGGAAACCATACAAGATGATGCCACTCCACCCGATCCTTATAAGTTCTAGTAACTTCCCAAGCTGTCTTAATGGTAAAAATACCCGAAGGGTTCGGATCCCATCTAACTCTATCATTGCTACCCAAGGGGAGGAAGTCCACTGCATCTTTAACTTCCATAAGGGCCAAGGAATTTTCCATCGGCCATTTCCATCTAGTTCCATAAAAAATCTCACCAACCCTAGCATAATAGAAAAGGCCCAAGTCATAGACAATCCTAGGGCCGTACCTTTGCACTAAGGGGCCTTTTGGTTGCCAATTATCATGCCACAAATGAATATTTTCCTCATTGCCTACAATGTGATGGATTCTATTCCTAACTTCTCCTCTAAGTTTCAAAATGCTTTTCCAAGCCCATGAAGCATTGCAAGGAATAGGGATATCCCAAAAACTTTTCTGACCAATCAAATAGTTTTTAACCCACTCGGTCCACCCAGAATCACCTTTAGCTTTGATAAGGTTCCACACATGTCTCATCATTGTCGCTCGATTCCACTCTTTGCTTTTTAAAATTCCAAGACCTCTCTCTTCCTTAGGTATGCACACCTCCTCCCAACTCACCCAAGCTTTAGTTTTCTTCATCTTTGAGCCCAACCAGAGGAAGTCTCTCAACTTAGAATCAATTTCATTATGAACTTTGGAGGGGAGCATAAAGACCATAGACCAATACACTTGGATACTAGAAAGGATCTCCTTAGTACCTTTGCACTAAAGGGCCTTTGGAGGGGAGCATAAAGACCATAGACCATAGACCAATCAACTTTAATAGCACACCTCCTCTCTTTAGCCAGATCTCTATCATAATGGTGCAACAACTCTTTGCTAAGTAAGATATTATCCCCAATTTTCTTTCCCCCTACAAAGGCAACTTGTGCCTTATTAATAAACTTGGGCAGTGCCACTTTAATTTTATTAGCCATTATCTTGGAAATTCTATATGTTGCTGATGCTTCATTTCTTCATTAAAAAGCAGGGGCTCTGAGTCGGAGGAGCCAGTTCATATCCTTGCGTATTACAGCAGCTGTGGGCCAGCAAGGTATGAAGAATTGGAAAGATTGCTCGCTAACATAAGGGATGGTCGTTACATACGTGCAAAGGACATGGTCTTGAAACTAAATAAACTGAAGTTGCCTCTTAAGTGGGAGCATGTGGCCAAAATTGCAGGCACGGGAGTTGCTCCTGGAAGGCTGCATGTGGCCCGAGCTATGGTTGAAGCAGGTTATGTAGAAAATCTGAAACAGGCTTTTGCAAGATATCTGTATGATGGTGGACCAGCATATTCCACGTAATAAAATAGTGCTGACTGTTGAAAATTTCTTGATTGTGGTTAATGCTTATTACTAATACATGAACATAATGACTTAAAGTTTATGTTTCCCCTGAATTCAGAGGAAGTGAACCTCTTGCAGAGGAAGCAGTGCAGTTGATAATTAAAACAGGCGGGCTAGCAGTGTTGGCTCATCCATGGGCATTGAAGAATCCTGTTGCTGTCACTAGAAGGTTGAAAGATGCTGGCCTTCATGGGATGGAGGTTTACAGAAGTGATGGAAAACTAGCAGGTAATTTTTCACTGAGCACTTTACAATCCAATGCTGCAGACTGCCTGCAACACTTTCACATCCTGAAGGCTGAAATTTTATATTTATTGAAGTCAATTATTTTGCTTGAATTGTTAAAATGTCAGTTTTCACACCACATTGAACATTGATTGTGAAGTCCTCTTGTAATTAACGCACCTTTAGAGCTTCTACTCATATACCGTACAAATGATTCAGATTGATTTATGATGCTCTTAAAGGTATTCAAATCTGCAATGATATTGGTAGAGTATTATGATCTGCATTATCATAGTAAATCAAGCTTTTTATAATTTATAATGTAGAGATGAAACCATTTCTAGAACTCTTGTTGTCCAGCTAGGGAAGAACACTCATCAATGTGTAACTGGTCTCTCATTTCGCTTGCCTTCCCATAGGTTGCATTGTGATGTAGCACTCAACTGAAATCATCAGTATCCATAGCAATTATCATTTTGTAATTCTCAAGTTTTTCCCGTGTCTCCATAAGTCTCTTGATTCTATTGTTTGATTGGCAGCATATAGTGATTTAGCGGATGCTCATGGTCTTTTGAAGCTTGGGGGTTCAGATTATCATGGAAGAGGTGGGCATGGTGAGTCTGAACTAGGAAGTGTGAACCTTCCGGTGTTGGTCTTAAATGACTTTCTTAAGGTAGCTCGGCCAATCTGGTGTGCTGCCATTAAAGAGGTTCTTAAAAGGTACGCAGACGAACCATCCGAGTTGAATCTGTCCAGCATCACAAGATTTGGTAGGGCTAGGATTTTCAAAGGAAGTCATCCTTTGAGTTGTGGCAAAGACTTGATTGACCACTACTTATCATTGTGGCTAACCAAAGAAGAGAGTCAGAATGCTGAATTTGAGGCTATGAAATTGAAACTTTCCCATGTTTCAATTAATCAAGGTGGGATAAATGTTCCTATAGAGACTAAATAATTCTAACTGCAATTGACATGATTGTACCAATTTTTTAAGGCAAGGATGATATTATTGAATTTTATCATATTTATATTTCATCATTAGGGAACATTAATGTTGTTATAAATTTCTAACACAGGTTTTATTTTTATTTTTATTTTTTTCCTTTTTTAGATTTTAATCTACCCAGAAAAATAACATGTTAGTTATGAGAATTTAAAAATAACCAACATTCAATTGCTTTGGTGAGTATAAGGATGGCAATAAGACCCCTGTAGGTTTGGATACCCGGAAAAACATGTTCCCATCGAATAGGGATTACCTGGAAAATTTCGGGGTTGGGGGTGGTGTAGGAGAATTTTTCGTACCCATCATCTGGGACGGTTACGAGGGCAGGTAGAAGTGTCTACTCTCAAAAACCAGGGTATAGGTGTCTGACCCGCACCTATACCCGTCCTTGGTTAATAATTTAGATATTAATATATTAATAATTTTCATTTGATTTGTTAAATATATGTCTGACTTGTATAAGTTTTTCTTCATTAATATATCAAAATTGAATGAAAATTGTTATAAATATATTGATTAATTGTTTAATATATATGTTAAGCTGTGATTTTTTAAAGTAAATAATATTGGTTTATTATAAGAAAGTTGAATTTTGTTTTTTCTCGATAATACAATGATCAATAATTAGTCTAAAGACTTGCCAAGAATAATCTTAGAGTGTTATAATTATTATTAATGTTATTTATTTTCATAATTTTATAAAAAGAAAAATATTTTGAATTTTTTGGGGAAGGGACAAGTATGAGCACGAGGACAAATTTCACCTTTTCCAAGCTAGTTTACCCGCCCCCATCCTCGACCCCCAAATTTTAGTGATGGCAATGGGCCGGCTGGGATCGGGTACCCCTTGGCCCAGGCCCAAGCTCGATCTGATAACAGAGGCCCAAGCTCGGCCTGAGCCTGTCACGGGTATGATAGGCAAAGCCTAGGCCTAATCCGACGGCTTTTTATGACCTTAGGCATGGCCCAAGCCCACATTTTTTTATAATGTCATTTTTAAATATTATAAATTTCAAAATTATTTTTATATAATAATTTTGAATTGATGTGCATTACACCAAGCTACTTCAAGTGAAAATTTGGGATATGTGGCTTTTGGTTGTGGACTGGTGGGAATAGGATTAGCCTGATGTTTTTATTAAGAGTATGTAAGTCTGTTTTTTGGGACTTGTAATTGCTTGCAAGAACTTTGTTGAGTATTTTAACTCCCCTCTCTCTCTCTCTCTCTCTCAGTCTCTCTCTCTCCTTGTATGCTTTGTTTGTTTGTTTTTATGTGTGTGATAAGTCTAGTAAAAAGCAAAAACAAAGGGCTGATCTACGAAAGGTTAGGAACCAACGAAAAGGTTTGGGACCACTGAAGCTCACATAAAATATTCTAGTAAAAATGTTCTTTAGAAACGAACAACAAATTAACAAAATAGAACAACCGGAGGGATAACGAATTAACTATAACAAGATTGAAACTCTTATAACCATAAACCTTTTCTCCACATATTCATTACAATATTTTCCCCTAAATTGAAACTCTACAGAAGCCACATCTGATGGAAACTGCAATTTCCAAAACAGAATTGCATTAACAATCCCGAGCTTCCATTGTAGTACTCCCAACTCTGCACAGACTGCAACTCTGCTGGAAACTGCAAAAGAAAAGCTATAGACTCCTGAAATTAAATTAACCCAAAACCCTATTAAAACAAGTCTTAAGGGAGTCCATCTCCATATAGTAAAAAAAAATGAAAACCCCCCCACGTAAACAACCAGAACAGCTCAAAATATCAACCTTTCAACATCTCTTCATTCCAAACAAAACATTCATTCATTCAATTTCTTCCACTCCAAAACCCAAAAGATTCAAAACTTCAAAAATAAAAAACCATCAAAAAAACGAAACCCATAGATTTTGGATGATAAATGAAAAGCACCAAAAAAAAAAAAAAAAAGAGTTAAGAGTCTTATTTATCTAAGCAGCTGGTGGCGACGGAGATGCGAATTGCAGAATTGCAAATGGAGAGAGAGATATGTTAGGAAGGGCAGCAGGCGGAGAAAGTTTAGGGAATGGGATGAGAAAGAGGTTAGGGTTTGGGAAAAATGAATATATATACTTAGGATAATACTATAATTAAATATATAGTATAAGGGTAAATTAGTAAAATTGACACTAAAATTTTCGGGCCGGGCTGGGCTGGGCCGGGACTGAAGATATACCCATACCCAGCCCGAACCTGTGGTCAGGCCTTAAAATCAAGCCCAGGCCCAAGCCCAAGCCCGTCACCTACGGGTAAAGCCCCACCTTTTCGGGCCGGGCTTGGCCGAGTACCCAAAAATCTCGGGCCCATTGCCATCTCTACTGAATTTCGAGGATGGGAAGGGTTTTGGGACTATGTTTGGTGTCTCGAGGCAGCAGAGAGAAACCACTACTCAGAAATTGCCAACCATAGGTAGGTAAGACCTTGTGCACAAGTTCATTCAAAATCGAGTTTTTATGATGGTCAGATCAAAATTAGTTTAAGAAATGATCAACCTTATTTTTTGGGTCGGGTGGCAGGTCAAGTGATAAGATCTTGAACTCGACCTAACACCCGATTTTCTTTTTTTTTTTTTTTTTTTAAAAAAAACTTTATTTGTCATCCTTCTATTGGGTGAAGTAAACAACTTAAAGTATACCTTCCCACACTAGATTGTTGTCATATAAGCCACAAGTTACCCTTTTTCTCAACCCTAGGTCTATTATTATTGACTCTTCTTCTCAACTAACCCCTGTCAACCAAGCTGAGTCGTGAGCAGCTCAGTTGTGGCTTGATGAAAGCTCGTGCTTGGCTCGGTTTTTATGGAGCTGAGGAAGCTCGTGAGCGGCTCGCTTTATATTTTGAGCTGAGTTCGAGTTCCATCTTGCTCGGCTCAATAAGCTTGTAAGCTTTAAGTGGCTTGAAAGGAAATTTCTATTATTTTAACAAGTACTAGGGGTTATGTATGTTTGAATCCTAAACATTGTAAAGATGACAAATAACCCCCAATTTCCCAAATAATGTAATTTGTAAAATCGAATTCGATACAATTCTTACAATGACTATAAATTAGAACTTGGAAACCCTAAACCCTAAATCTCCGATCTCTCTCTGATACGATTGATTTTCCCTTGTTGACCACTTCTTCTTGCCGTCCCCTTCACCAATGATGCCAACTTCGTCTCCAATCTCACCGAACAAACAACGAAGCCACTAGTCAAGAGTCACGACTCTATTGTAATTTTTAAACCCTTTCATTTTAGCAGCTTTAGTTGACGACTTCTTAAAGGTATAAATATAATTTTTTTCAACTCCTTCATGCTTGTGAAAATGTTGAAATGAAAGAAATTGTTATATGAATCTTTATTTTTATTTTCAGACACACCAACAAACCATCACAGTTCACATACCTGTTTCAGGCCAAGACTCATCAGTTTAGTGGACGGTGGTTCTTCATAGTTCACAGTTAGTAGTCATTACTGATATCAGGTGAGAAATAGTGACGCTAGTTGTATTTTTGTTGTGTTATATTTTGCACTTTGTTGTTTGTATGTATTGGTTCTAACTTCTAAGGTAAGGGTTATGCCATTGGTTCTAAGGTTTACAGGATTATTACAGGATTCAATATTGTTTGTACATGATTATTTTCCTTGGGTTATAGTTTGTACTTTGTTGTTTGTATGTATGTATGACAATAGGATTATTGAACGACTCAAATCTCAATATTGTTTACAGGATTCAACCTCTCTAATCTGTTAGTTATGATTTTTATTTGCTTGATTTTGATTTCTCTTATTAATGGAATATATATATATATATATCAGAGAGAGAGAGAGAGAGAGAGAGTGACATTACATTATTCATGTGTCCATTATGTGGGGTTTTTTTAATGTGTAATATGCATGTTGTGACTTGTGAATTCTTCAATTACAAGTATGGAAGACGACTCCACAACCCAGCCAACGTTGGATGATATAATTTCATCTGCTGAACCTCATAGCTTGAATAGGGCGACAACCAATATGCAACAAAGTGCTAGTAGCCCGCATAATTTAGAGGAGAATGACAAGCTAAGAAATCTGCGATCTCGATAGAATTTAAAGAGGTAGCCCTTCCTAACGATTTGAAGAAAGTAAAGTGTATCCACTATAAGTCCGAACTTCAAATTACTACAACCAAAAGCACTACCCAATTTTCAAGACATCTGAAAGGGTGTGTGAGGCGATTAGTTTCCATTAGGCAACATCAGATTAATTTTCCCTGTGCCAAATCTAGTGTTGGAACAAATGTCATGCCTGCTCTTATAGGCAAGTTCAACATGACAAAGATGAGGGAATGGGTTGCACATTGGGTGCTTATGCATGAGCATCCATTTACGGTTGTGGAGGACGAGGGTTTGAACAACATGCTGAAGTATGGGATTCCTTAATGGTGTAGGGTTTCACGTAGTAGTTGTAAAAGTGATTGTATGAAGGTGTATGAAATGGAGAAGTAGAAGTTGAAGACATTGTTGAAGAGTGTTAATAAGATTAGTTTGACGAAAGATTTATGGAATGCAGGCAATGAAAAGATGGAGCACATGGTTCTAACAAGGCACTAGATAAATGGTAATTGAGGTTAAACAAACGTGTTCTTAGCTTTGTTTATTTACCTTCTCCTCGTGGTGGTGTGCAGATTACTGATTCCATTTACAAGTATTTGATGGAATGGGGAATTGAAAACAAGGTCCACACGATCTCAATGGACAATGCTTCTGGTAATGATGTTGCAATTACGGTTTTAAGGGGCAATTTTGCAATGACGAGGAAGCTCATTTAATGGGGGTAAAACTGTTTCATGTCAGGTACTATGCACACATCTTAAACCTGATGGGCGGTCTTTATCAGTTTAGGCATATCATTGACGATATCTATGACAGTGTGTCATTCAGTAATACTTAGAGAGTAGGTTGAGGGTTTTTTTTCGAGGATTGTGCAACAATTGCGTTTGCCATATCAAAAGCTTATTCTTGATTGTAAAACGGGGTGAAATTCAATGTATGACATGTTGGTAACTGC